AGAAACCTGGTAGCCACTAGTCATTGTACATCGAGTGGGCTAGAAACCCAGCTGACCAAGTTGAGGGGCGATCTAACAACCTCTGAAAAGTAACCACGCCTTTTGCAGCAGTAAAGCCAGCTTCCATTCAAATTTATAGGGGTACGTATTTTGTGTGAGGCTCGTACTTGAGACACATTAATTATCAGGTTAAGAATTTTCCTCCATTTCCCTATATTAGACAGAATAACGTCTTTCTGTCGCTGAATGAGAAGTTGCCAAAGACTTTGTTCATATCGTTTTTTGTTCTCGTCTATTGTCTAATTTTTCGAGCCCGTCTTTCTTTTTTTTTATGGCGGTACGTTTTAAAAAATAAGGAACTCCGACTGCGCTTAACTACGTTTTTCACGCTTCCCTTATTCACCTGCCGTCTCAAACGAGCCGTAGAATAAATTGACTGCTACTGGCCACTTCATGTAGTCTCATCAAAAGGTACTCATTAATAAAGGCAAGTCTTGAGTCGTGTAGCGGTACTCTATCTTCTCGATTGCAAATTCGTCCCATTCGGTTTGTTCGTCTTATAAGTACCGAGTCTCAATGTGTAGTATCCTTGGCGCTACTTTTAGAGTGATAGTGCTCCAACGAGACTGTACAGGGTGGGCCAAAATTATGGTTACAACGCGCGCTGACGATCATAGCGATTTTTTTTGAGGACATAGCAATTCGTTCGCTTTCTTCTATTTCACAAGGTAGATTACATTATTACCTTCCTGATGGTACTAAACTTTTGGTAGATTTTGAAAATAATGTAAGCGTAAATACCCCGTGAATAAACCGTCATTTTGCATTTACAAGCACCTTTGGCACGGTGCATCTACAGACGACCCAGCGTAACAAGGCGGGGAGTACATTGGATTATAAGACGCCTTCGAGAGTTAGGAAAAATTGCAGATAGGAGTTGTAATCCTAAGAGGTCTGCGGTTATATTTAGTGGGAGTTTTAATAAAGCAGGGCGCAGGTCTGCGTAGCAGCGAAGTTCATTCTGAGGCCAAAATGACCAAATGAATGGATATTTCATGAAGTTTTCTGTGCGAAACCGTGAAGCATCATCTGCACGACAAGGCCTTCATATGATCAGAAAGTGATTTCCCCAGTGAGCAGGCTAAAAAGAAGAAAAGTGTTGGCTCACCAAAGCTGCCCCGCCGCATACAAAAAATTGACGTACGAGCTTCCTGTTCATCGGCAAAAGATATCCGCGGTGAAAAAGGTGTGTAATGAGCAGGGCTACAAGATTTGTATAAAGCTGAAAGGAATGAAAGGGATGCAGCGCTAGACTCGCTGACTTTCTGCGATGTCCTTTGCGAGCGTAACAGCCGAGGGCAAAAGCACCGATTAATTTTTGTAAAATAAGGAGTGTAATTTGATTTGGAGACCTGTTCGATCTCTTGGGCGCAATAAAACACGTTGGCGATTCAAACCGGACATATTGTCAAGATGATGCTCCTGAATGCAGATCAGAAATTGTCTAGAAATTCCATACAATGGGTTTCTTGACATCATCACCGTCGATCAGTGACCACTCTGGAGCCCTGACCTAAATCCCGTGGATGTCTCAGTGTTGTCAGCCTTTGAGATAGAAGCATCCGTTAGCCCAAACAGGAAGTGGATTAATCTCAAAAATGCCTTGCAAAAAGCCGGGATCAACTTGGTGACCTTAGCCACGTGCCACCGTCAATGCCGTCCATCGTCGTCTTTGGGGTAGGGTGAGAGCAGAAAGCAACAGATCCCGGTTTCATAGACTATTTTGATAAGAGATTCGTGATAGACACTTTTATGAAATTAGTTTGCTTTTTTAGCTTTCTATTCGTTTTCAGGGATGCGATGTTTGTGTAATCATAATTTTGGCCCACTCTGTACATCGCTACCGTATATATCTACCGTATACCGTAAATATCTTCTACATGCTTTAGCGAAGCAAACCAATGCACAGAAACGATTCACTAAAAATTACACGTCCTGAACTTTGCAGGGAACATTCTTCCATCTTCCTTGTGAATGCGAACGAGTAGAGTGCTGTACTTAGAGCATCAGATTAAATATTTGTAGAAAGGCGGGGTCTAGCACCTCCAGAGACGCGCAAAGTCAGTCATCTCTACACCGCACCCTCTTCACTACAGCCGTTATCAACGAACCATGTGCTCGCCGGTCTTCTGCCCGTCGAGCGCTAGATGTTTTCGTTGCGGCTTTGGATGATTCAACTCAGACACAGGCGTACATCTCACAAGCCATCTGCATTTCCTAGGAGTAACCTCTGTAGTATTTTCAAAGCCAATCTCATTCAATTCTTCGTACATTTCTTCGGTTATCACGAGATGATATTTTGCTAATTTTGTCGGACTCTCTGAGTAGCCAAGCATCACAGCAAATCATTTGGAAAGTACTCGGGAATTTGAGAGTTTCAGAGAAAAATTATTTTCCCATAGTGAACGAACCCTAATCAATTATATATTCTCCATGTTGTTCGATTACTTACTGTCTTTTTTTTCTGGTAATTTCATAACTCTTCTCATAAAAATTCTGGGTTTTTCTTTGCGGCAAAGAACTAGGTTCTATATAACATTAATCCCCCTATCACTTCGATCCTCTTGATCCCTCTCACTTGTTAGTTTCCGCACGTTCTCTTACACCTTCCTCTTGTGACCCTGCGCCCTCACCACGGAATTCCAATCATCATCTTTTTGCCCTTCCTACATAATAGAACACTTAAATTCAACTCATTCATTAATACATCCCTGTAGCTCAATCCCCACAGGTGGAGCGAGTATGGCGTCACAGAGGCGCTCGCTGCTGTCCCCCGCTGTCCTCCGCTCCTGCGAATTGTTGGAGGGCTGCTGCGACGATTTCGACTCAGACATTGTCGTTACGATAGCTGAGACTTTGGCTACAATATCGTGAGCTTCGGCTTCTTAGGCCACAGCGGCTGGGGGCTCCTGCAGGGAAGCAACCTTTGGTTCTTTTCTTAAGTAACTTTCTTCTGTGAAAATGTAGTTCGGGATGGAAATAGAAAAGGGGTGGGGGCAATTGATTCACTGTTATTCCTTGTTATACCTGGGATGTGCAATAACACGGATTAGCACATAACACCGTGTAAAAATCTTTTTATAGCAACATTGTTATGCGTGCTCCCCTCCTCTAACCCACCCCCACCTCCCCTCCTCCAACCCCTTGACTATCTTTTCACCCTCCCATAATACGAAGAAGTTACTGAAGGACTTGAATCAGGTCTTCCACGACGTTCCACGACGAAATGAGGTTCCGGGAGATTCCCGGAGATTGACCCCATTAAATTTTTTTCACTCATGGTTCGACCGCCGTGGATCTCCCGTCGCTGATTCCTGCTTCGACCTTCATGTCCATCATTTGGAAAGTTAGGCTTACCTATCGCTAATTGAAGTTCACGACAATCCTGAGGTACCCAGGTTAATACGAATCTTGAGCCATTTCTATTGTGAATTGTGTCCTCAAGGTGTCGGAACAAGACACAGAAAGGGGAATGATCCATTCAGAGAATAGCGCACTTACACACTCTAACTTCCCTTGCCGCAACATCAATTTCCAGTCGAGTTTCAGTAACTTTCGCCGATTCATTGAAAATGAAGGCAGTCCAGCCTTGTCTCAGTGCAACACTGCTCTTTTGCGAATCACTAATTTTACCGGTTTTTCAATTGCCTCGTCTAGTTCATCTAGTAGTAGATAGCCGAATTAGAATTTTGTTTCTTTGGAAGCCTTCAAATTATTTCACCCTGTCACTAGACCAAACTGATTGGTGACCTTTTTTTGATGAAGTTCAGCCTTGGACTCCTTCGACCCTCAGGTATAGGCCCCAATCGTTTGAGAGTAATAATATTGAAAGTAAGCCATTCTTCAACATTCATCATCCCTCAAAAATGGTAACATCATTAACAGCAGTCAGCAAGAACATGAAGTCAAGACAACCTGTAATAAAAATGGCTTACAGTTTAGCGGTTTGATAGTGGCAGGCTCATCACCTTGGAGGCCACTAAGAAGGAAGAGGAAGTCGGGAACTCGATAGAGTAAGGGTAGGGGCCCTGAAACATGGGTTTGAGTCCAGTCGGAGGTCGATGTTCTAAACGCACCTCGCAAATGTTGTGAGCTCCCACATTGCGTTTGAAGTTCGAACATCAACTTACTGCGTCAGGTGAATGTTCTTCAATTCATGTGGCAGCAAAATGTTTGGATTTTTCATGGTCTAAGTTTTTTGACACGCTCGTAGACTATTCTAGTGAATGGACTAGTTTTACAGCAATTTCTCTGATTATGTTACGGGCAAAGGGATGGATGACCTAGTCACTGGCCCTCGATCACTCCGCCGTTGTCGTTAGCGTGATCTTCGCCTTTGAATACCCTTCCCCATGTTGTTTGATTACCGATAGCCATTTTTCGGGTGATTACTAACTCTTCTCAATAAATATGCCGTTTTCTGAGGAGGTCTGAAGCGGTCGAGCTCTAGTTCATGGAACAATCCGGATTATCCCAACTCACTATTTGTCGCTGTTCTTTGCAGGAAGGGGATGTATGATATGATTGATTTTTCTTGCTCTCTTGGATACCAGTTGGTTTTGCTCTCTTGAGCTGGGAGGAAGTAGTTTGTTAGGAAGAATAAAATTCAGAATTGTCAATGATCCTCCTTCATCCTTACGCTACAAAATGGCTCTATTTTTACTGCAGGTCCCTGCAACGATCTGGTGGTGGCTTTGCTGATCTATGAATGTTCTTTCAAGCCTTGTGAATTCCACATTTTCGTGTAACATAACCTTATTGGTGCCCATACCGCACACCTGAGATACAATTTACAGCTTTTAGTCTGGTAACCTTCCTGAGGAGGCATGTCCGACGATTGTAGAGGGCTTTTCTCTGTACCTCTTTTCACAACCATTTCGTTCATTTGTTGTTATTAAAGATCAAATAAAGTAATCCTAACATAGGGCGCTGGCGCGAATATGATGCTGGCGGCCGTCAATCCATATTCGTCGTCGTCGAGCAACCATCACTTCCAGATACAGGATGTTACGGACGATCCTGAGGTAGTTTCTAGTTCATTCTATTCAAGTCTTGGCAAAAATTGACGAGTTTAGTTGCAGCTAGAGCTTACAAATATTGTACAGAAACAAAGGCCTAGTAAAAACCACGATTCAGATTTGCAAAGATACTGGTCATAATCTTTTGATCGGGAAAAGACGCAGATTTCATAGGAGGGATTATCAATATCTGAAGTCCAAAAATTCCCTTATGCTGCCTAAGATTTTAGTTTCGTGCAAAGTAAAGAAACCCAGTAAGATTGAGCTTGACAGCTCTGTAAAAAATTAGCTTCTATTCCACTCCGCTCCGTTTACTCTGTGCACAAAAATAAAATTCTTAACCACCTTTATTGAAATTTTCCCAGTTCGAATAACAACTTTTCTCAAAATGCTTCACTTTCCTATGTTGTTGTCACAGCTCTTTATCTTTACTCTTCGGCTTGATGACGATATGCGGATTAGCCGCATAAAAGTTTTTGTCGATATCCACAATTCCTGAGCTAACTCGTCGAAATGTAGTCGAAACTCTTTGGGGAACTGGGAATCTTAAACCATTGGCGACCGCGCCTTTTACATTCTTTTTACATTAACTTTGAATTTCTCTTATAACTGTAGTTGGAAGTGTATAATTCCTCGATTACAATGCCTCAAGATTCTCCAGAAAGTTGTAAGCTCAGCTGATACTTGAAAACATGAAAAAAGTAAAAGAACACTTGATAAATAGTATAAATACTGCAGGAGCCCGATATGATGTGGCCCGCCGGCGGGTCACGCGGTCGTCAATGGGTTAAACTTTCATGTTCGCGTCACAATTGCATGTGTAGACTGCATAACGGTAGCCTTTTTTTGCCGCAACTTTTGAGATTGTGGTCCAATTTTGACAATGTCTTCTCAATGTTGTAATGAAGCCCGCGTTACCGTCTGCGAATTACAAAGACAAAAACAACAGAAACAGTTTTGAAGCTCTGTAGAACACCACCATAAGCGGGTCAAACTCTGAACAAAAGAAACAAGCACGCAGTTATTCAATGGTATTTCAGTCGGAATGATTTAATTAGTGGGCATTTTGAGGGACCACTTAGCTTTTAGAGATGTTTAAGGTTATTATCAAGGATTACGTTAAATTTATCTGTGATTTAATTTTCAGTATTCTTCGTATGGGAACGAGAATGAAGCACCGCAAGAGGGAGCGTTGGTGGAGTACTGCCGACTGGACAAGCGACAACAACCGAGTATTCCGCGAATATTCGACGCCTCAACTGTCGTCTCTGCAAAATTGCGTACGCCACCGTTAATCGTGAGTGTTCCATCTGTGCATATTTTTGAAGGAATAGGTCTTTTGAGGTGACTCACATGTGGAGATGAAGTCATTGGAGAGGCTTGGTAATAGGCGGATTAACTAGTTACATCTCATTATTATTATGTTGCAAAAAACGCAGGTTTTCAAGTTTTCTCGGAGTGGCACTACTGAAGTACTTCCATTGAGAAGTCATCCGGACAATGGGAGTTTTCAGAAAGAGAACCAAAGAGCAGTAGTGATTTTTATTTAGAAAATCTCTTTATCAAAAAGTCCAGGGTTTTTTTTCCAACCAACAAAGCTTCCGTGAGCTGATTTGTTGTCAGACTAGGCCTCCTTGAACTTCTAAGAATATGGTTCTATAGCGAGTATTTGTTTTCTGAAGTTATTAGTTAGAAGTTAACTGCATTAATTGTTGACTTCAATCAACTTTGGATCCGAGAGCTCCAAAATTCCCCTTTCTACTCCCTTCATTTAGCGACGCTTTCAAAATAACCTATCTGTTATCCCTCTATGGAGTCACTCTAGTACAGTATCTACTGTTCTACCTCAGAATAAGTGTCGCTATGCTACCATTGCTGGCCATTCACGTGGTAGCCGGTTTTTGTTCCTAATCATACTCACATCAATTCTTTATAGCCCTCAAACGTTGTTTTCTGTAGAACTCCAAGAAAATCTGGTAATGTGATCATATTTAAATACAAAAATGGGAGCAAATCAGCAGTGGGAGTATTGCAAGTCATGGGAGCAGTCATACGCGCAATCGAATGACTCGGTTACTATGAGTGAAGGGCGAACGCATTGTGTATCCCTTTAGAGCTCGATAAACACTAGACCCCCTGCTGTTGCTGCCCTCTCTGGAAGGAATTGGTGGTTCTTGGCAGATTGGCCACTTACCGTGCGGCAGCTTTTACGACTTTGTATTGTTATAGACCTCCTTTTTACCTCACTTTGCCTTTGAACCATCCAAGGCCTAGACGAGTAGTATACAGAAACAGGAGCCGTGCATTTTTCAAGCGCTGCACAAGCTAAGGTTGTACTGGTGCAGCGAGAAACAGAATTCGTTCCGTTCTTTGCCGTTGCTAATCCTAACCTCTGTCCTACACTAGCTCTGTTCGAATTCGAGCATTTTCACGATTCCGACAGGGTGTTAGGCTCCGAGTGTTCATGTTTTTACTGATCACCGTTTCCTGTTCAACTTGGAGCAGTGGGTCTTGGTGGGCTTTCATACTGAAAACATTTAAATATAATAATGTGGCGGAGGCCCTTACTCATTTCCTCAATCCCTTCCGGTCGCTGGCATCAACGAGTATTGCTTTCTGAGCGAAGAGCCCCAAGAGTAGACCTCAGTTTGTAAAGGCTTATGCTACAGTAGTAAGCCAACCTGCATGCCGTGAGATCATCCGTTTGATTAGAGTGAAATCAAGCGATCTGTAGCTGACAGCTATCAGTTGGTACGTCAGCGTGCTATCTGAAGTTGAAAGTTTGTGGACGAAGTTGATACATGGGCTGGTGGAGCGTTCGTAGGGTAGTGGACAAGCACGTCGCCAGAGAATCGTAAATGCTGGTTCAAGTATGTGCTGCCTAGATTGCAAACCATCACTTCCTTTCTACTGTTGACCCTTCTTCTATTCGAGACGTTTGACAGAAGGCAGCTATCAAAAAAAAGCGGCAGAAATCAAGTGGGCGTAAGGTGAAGACAACCTTCGCGAAAGTGGTGCACAAAGAAATTCACATAGTTCATTGCCATTGGACTCGGAACAATTGTGGATTCTGTGGAATGAGTCTCAAGCCGTGGCTATTCTGCTGCCTGGCCAAGCTAAGACAGGTCGGGTTTGTACGACGACCCTTTATGTAATGTTTGAGGCTCAACCAGCTGTGTGGCTCATAGTAAATAGGGGCTTTCCACACCGATCGTGAACGTTGCAGTCAATTTCGTGGTCCTTGCAACCAGTCTCGTATTCTCCCATTCCATTTTGTATTTATTGTAACCATTTTCGTTGTTCTCCCACTCTATTTCATGGGTTTCGCAATTATTTCCGCATATCCCCATTTATGAACTCTGAAATCAACTTCACGAACCTCGCAGTGAACTTTGTAATTATTATGGATCTGGTATATAATTAGCTGATGACTGTCAACTCTACCATTGAGGTTTACCCGAAGGTAGCCGTATTGTGGTTAGGTGCTGCGGTGAAATTGAACATCACATGTTGACAGAGGGGCAGAAACAAGCTGGGTAGACAAGAACTGATCGACTTCTTTCCCCTCTAATTTGTCTGAATCTACATTCAACAGAGTGCCGATGACCTTTTCCTACCCCTCAAGCCCGTGCACTTTCAAGTAGAGTGATGCAACGCTGTGGAGATTATTGGGGCAGATAGAAGTTCATTCATTCGTAAAATTCCTTGCTATGGTTGCCACGAGGGAGGGTCTAACTTCCCATGAAGCTTTGAGTGTGATCTATGTTGTCAGTTGGGTTCAGCATGCTGTTTGTCGATATAGAAGTCAAAAATGTCAAATGGGTTCCCTGAAAAAAGGTATGGGATAGTTCCATTAAAAGTGCGCAACCGTCCTCACCACAGCAGGCGCCTCCGTGGCGCCGGTAAATTCCTACATTGTCAGGAGGAAGTTGTGGGTTCGGTTCAAGCCGTGATCGTAAGTTTTACGCAGCGTGTTTGTTTTCTTAAAGCTTCGCTGATATTTATTTAACTAAGCGCCTTATTTAGGCTATCCTTCACGCTCATCGCACTGACTCAAGGTATAAGTTGCTGCACGCAATTTACATGGCTCTCTTTCAGTTTCAACTTTGAGCACAAGAGGGGAGTCACAATAGAAAATATACGTGTAAAAACTAAATTGAAAGAAACGATCAAAATGTGTGAAGGAAGCACCTTAACCATAATTTTCGCACTTTATGTATGGTGTCTCTCTACAACTTTTCAGATATGAGTCAATTGTCCTTAACTGGTTATTTGGTTGATAATATTTCGACAGGTAGCTCTGAAGACACTTTTGTTTCCCTACTGAATAGTCCTCATTCGAGAAATCGCAAAGAAGTTATATCGTCCTCGAGTATCACTTAAGATCATGCAACTGGCATGCAGCAACTTTTAAGCAAGTGCGATAAGCATAAATGGTATCCTGAATAGCGTGTTACTCGGATAAATATCAGAAAGAGTTATAATAAAGATAGAAAGAAGCACGCTGTGCAAATCTCCGATGACGGTGACATGCATACCCACAACTTCCGTCTGACACAAGAGAGCACCTATCGCTGTGTCAAGCGGTTACTCTGGTACAGCTGCGCACTTCGACCGAAACTATTCCCAGGATAAGTTTGCGAGCCCAAGTTCTTTTGGGGAATTGATTGACCAGTTTTGTTTCTATACCCTCATAGTCTATCGATATCTCTAGGTTTCCATTCAAGATCTTCCTCAGTTTATTGGTCAGCTTTGATATTAACTACTTCGTATTCTTTTTGCCTCGTTCGGACGGAGCTGTCCGCCACGTGAACAGAAGTCATACAAGTAACTCTGAGTGTCTTACACTACAAAATTCACGCAATACATAGATCACAAGGTGAATGAGGCTGCAGGGTTTGCGAAATGGGGTGCAGTAATACAGAGCTTATGGCAAAAATTTTCGAAATCAGTAGAAAGGGGAAACTGCAAAATCGGCTACATTATATACGAATGAGTACGGGAAAAGTACGGAATTCCAGCAAGTCCTATGAAATTGAATGCAACGCTTACGACTGGCGTAGAAAATCCTGGTTAATCGAAGTGAATATTATTCACAAACAAGCTTGTGCTATTTCTTTCGTGATTTAGTTGGTTGTATCAATGCTTCATAGCGCTTACAAACGACTTTTTGGAAATCTCGATCTGAGAGTATAGTGTTATCCGGGTTAAGTTGTTATTTTCATAGGTGTAAGTTAATAGACTCAAGACGTTCATGAACTGAAAAAAAACGTACGAACATCGTCTGAATTCCGGCCTCGCTCGCCACGGAGCTTGAGCCTTGCGTGAACCTTTCTCGATCTATATTCCATATTTCCAGTAACCCTGACCAAGCCGCTTTCTTTGAGAAAACGAGTTTCAAGTGGATTTAGTTCATTGAACGAATTTTGCTGTTCTTGGCAGTCTTCAAGGTCGGGTCGGTCTGATTGTTTGTGAGTCACCCAAGCCCCACAAAAATTCTTGGGATACCATCGTATTTGATGCATCTGGAGGTTTGGTGTTTGTGGTTGGTTGGAGTCGGTGTCTAATGGAGCGTCAGCTGAAGCTACTCTTAGTTCTACGGCGCCCGGCGGAAGGGGAGTGCAGTGGCTATGATTGTCCCATCTCTACAGCGTCCACCCACTTCGGCGATCTCTAGTGGCCGCTCTCCTGCACGAGAAAAACCAATCCGAAGTGGTCTCCAAAGACCTCTCTTTTCAATTCACAACCACATCTCGTTATAACCCCCGCCAGTACGGCGCATTTCGTCTAGATATTACAATGCACTGCATGTTATCATGAACAAGAAGGCCTTTGTTGTTTATGTCATTCGTTGGATGCTGAATTGTTCGAGGCTGTTTTCAACTGGCAGAGCGATTTGAGCTGAACTTTTGCGTTTTTCAGCCCTGTTTCTTCCGGTGTTTTTTGTTGGTATATGGTATTTTACTAGTGACGATGCTGAAAGATTTTATTTTCGTTCGGCTTTTACATGAGTTCTTCTGTGTTTCTTCTCAAACCGGAACTTTTTCAGAGAACTTCTATGATTTATGATCTTCCCAAAGATATTGAGCTTCATTGCAAGTTGGTAATATATTAGGCTTCGAGAATAGGTATGGTCCAAGTTGAATTTAAGACTCGCGATTTGAGGAGTGAGGTCGACAGGCCGAATAGGGGCCTGACTCAATCTATTTTCGATTGCATGATGTAGAACAGTAACTTGCCAGCTAGACACGACCACCTTGATACGTTCCTTCACACAGGTTGTCTAAAGAGCCCTGTTTTTTCCAAATTGGTTTTCCGTAAGGATTCGAANGTTGCTCGCTGAGCCTT